CTTTAGAAATTTGTAATAATATGAAATTAGAAAAACAAATTAAAAGACAAAAAGAAAGTGGAATAAAAGAATTAGGAAATTTCTGTGCTCAATATGGGTACGAAGGAATAACACCCCCATCAAGAAAATATAAAAAGAATATTAGAAAGCCTTTTAAAAGAAGTCAATCTTTTAGAAAAAGTAATGTGCCTTTTAAGAAGAAAAAATTTTCTAATAATAATAAAAATTTTAAAAAACAAACCTTTTATAATAAAAACAAAGGAATAGTTTGTTTTAAATGTGGAAGATATGGTCATATGAAAAAAGATTGTAGAGTTAAAGAAAAGATAAATAATTTAAATATGTCTGAAGAATTAAAAGAGCAAATTGCAAAACTTTTACTTTATGAGTCAGAAAGTGAAGAAGAAGAAAATAGTAGTGAAGAATATATAGATAATATAGGCACAAGTAGTGAAGAAGAAAGTGAATGTGAATGTGAGGAAAATCCTTGTTCATGTTCATTTAGCATAAATGTAATTACGTCCGAAGCAAAATTAATATTAGAAATAGTAGAAAAACTTCCAAATGAAGAAGAAAAACTAGAATATCTAAGTAAATTAAAAGATTTAATATTAGAAGACAAAACCCATGAAGAATCTACCACTCTTGAATTTAGTGGATATGATTTTTCACAAATATTAAAGAAAGCTTCCATAAAAGAGAAACCTGTAAATATTAAAGACTTGCAAAGAGAAATAAATGAATTAAAAGAAGAAATTAATATAATAAAAACCCAATTAATAGAAATAAAACAAACAACTTATCAACAAAATGAACAAATAAAAGAAATCCTTGAACAAGATAAACCATCCACGTCAATAAATTCAGAAGAAAATATAGTTATAAGACAGATAAAAATAATACAGCAAAAATGGTTAATAAAAGCTACATTAAAAATTGGAAAAACATATCATAAAACTTTTACAGCTTTAGTAGATTCGGGAGCAGATTTAAATTGTATAAGAGAAGGTTTAATACCAACCCAATATTATGAAAAAACTGTTCAAATCCTAAGAGCAGCAAACTCTAATAGATTAAAGGTAAAATATAAACTTTCGAAAGCATATATTTGTAATAAGGGGACTTGTTTTAAAAATACGTTTATTTTAACTCCAGATATAAGTGAAGAAATGATTTTAGGAACACCTTTTTTAACTCAAATATATCCTTTTACAGTAACTTCAGAAGGAATACAATTTAAAGAATTGTTATTTGAATTTATAAAACCAGCAACAACAAAAGCAATACATAATGTAAAAGATATAAATGAAGAAAATTTTATAACAAGAATACAAGCAAAAACAGAACAAATAAAATATTTAAAAAATGAAATAAAATATAAACAAATTGAAGAAAAATTGCAAGATTCAAAGATTAAAAAAGAGTTCGAAAATATTGAAAAAGAAATAGTAAGAGAAATATGTTCAGATGTTCCTAATGCATTTTGGGAACGAAATTATTTTGAAATAGAATTACCATATGAAGAAGGATTTGTGGAAAAGAATATCCCTACGAAAGCTAAACCAGTACAATTGAATAAAGAAACTCTAGAATACTGTAGAAAAGAAATTCAACAATTTTTAGATAAAAAGTTAATAAGACCTAGTAAATCTCCCTGGAGTTGTGCAGCATTTTATGTACAAAATGCTTCAGAAATAGAAAGGGGAGAACCTAGAATGGTCATTAATTATAAACCATTGAATAAAGTATTAAAATGGATAAGATACCCTCTTCCTAATAAGTCAGAACTAATAAGTAGAATTTATAATGCTACCATATTTTCAAAGTTTGATATGAAAAGTGGTTATTATCAAATAAAAGTAAAAGAAGAAGATAAATACAAAACAACATTTATAGTACCATTTGGCCAATATGAATGGAATGTAATGCCAATGGGACTAAAAAATGCCCCCTCCGAATTCCAAAATATAATGAATACAATATTAAACCCATATTCAAAATTTGCACTAGTTTATATAGATGATGTGTTAATATTTTCAGAATCAATTGAACAACATCTAAAACATTTGAAAATATTTAAAAATCTAATTAAAAGAAATGGGATGGTTATTTCACAAAAGAAAATTAAATTAGCACAAACAAAAATTAGATTTTTGGGACATGATATTTATCAAGGAACCATTACCCCTATAAAAAGAAGTATAGAATTTTCAGAAAAATTTCCCGATGAAATAAAAGATAAAAATCAATTACAAAGATTTTTGGGTTGTGTAAATTATATAGCAGATTTCATCCCAAACATTAGAATATTATGTAAACCCCTCTATAATAGGCTTAGAAAAAATCCAAAACCTTGGACTCCTGAGCTAACCAAAATAGTTCAAGAAGTAAAAGCCCAAGTAAAATCATTGCCTTGTCTAGGAATCCCAAATCCCGAGGCCCAATTAATAGTAGAAACCGATGCTTCAGAACAAGGATATGGAGGGATACTTAAACAAAAAATATAGAACCCATAATAAACGAATTTATAATCTTTTAAAATTCAGCTCCTCTTTCTTTTATTAATATTAATATTTCGCTCCTCTTTTATGAATATCTGGTACCAAAATATATATATATTCACTATAATATCATAAAATGATATTTATTAATTATTCTAGTATATTAACAAGTATCACATACTTTAGGAGTAATGTTGGATATAAGGATGATAAGTAAATCAATACTCATCTCAACTTTGATGGAGAATATTTAATTTGATCGGATATGAATATAGATAATATCTTATTTATTAAATCGAATACGGAGATAGGAATGGGTATATACTTACCCACCTCGTATCTGTCTCCATTCCCGCTTTGAAATTTTAGAAATTTAATTAATTTATTTTTATAAAATTTACTTGACATTTATGTAATTATTTATTTTAAATTTCTCAAATGAAACATAATTAATGTAATTTTATAATTGTTACTTTATTTTAAAATTCTTATTTTTTAAATATTTTTTTATAAAAAATATTTAATTTATTTCTAAATGGATACGAATATACTTGATACCCTACGATAATAGAGTTGAGATACAAATTCCATACCTATTGAGTATGGAGACAAATATGAATATAAAATACGAGAACATAAACAAAAGTAAGGACAAAAATATTGAAACTCGTATCAACTTCACCCATCATCATCCCTAAAACATGAGAATTAAGGCCCACAAATCATTTGTTTAACCTAGTCTATTGGTCTTAAAATATGAGTCCTATTTAAGATACGAGCCTTTTCTATTTGGCCCATTTAGCCTATAGGTTGGCTCGTAAATATTTTAAAATTCAATTGTTTAGAGCAACTTTAGGTTATATTTTCACATTTTTCACACATTTTGCACTTGTGGTATATAGTTTGTAATACTTTTAGTTTCATATTTAGTTGGTGTATTTGGTTAATCAACTTAAAAATGTTTGATACTTAAAATGATCGAATAGATAATCATGGTTGATTTTAAATTTTTTTTTTTTAAAAAAATTTATTTCTATTTTTTATTTGTAGGTCATGAATTGGCTCATTTATGTTGAGGATCAACCTTACTTGACGTACTAAAGTTTTGGAGCTTTATCGGCCAAATAACCCCATATACTTAACTCTACTTAACAATCAAAGTCAAGGATACTTAATTCTATTATCATATTAAATTTCACGATCAACTTAAAATGAATATAATAATTTTCTTTTAAAAAAATATAATTATTTTTCAGACTCATTTTCACATGATTTTGATCATGTTTATGACATTTTGTTCAAACATCAATTCAACTCAATAGTTTTATGTAAGTGAATATAATGAGATAAGATTTACATCTTGAATCAATAAAAAATTGATTAAGAATCATGTTACAAAATGAAAAATAATCATGGTTTCAAAAGGGTCAAATTGATTTAAAATTATAAGATAAAGGGTTTAAATAACTTTTATGAGAGATCAAAAAATCAAACTAAATATTAAAAATAGAGGAGAGTTCAAACGACACCGGTGTAACTTTTACTAAGTATTACACCACGCAATAACTTTATATTAAATATGAATTTTGTAAATCCAACCGTTAGATTGAAAGTTTTTTACTCTTAGATCATATATACAAAATTTTATATTAATCCAAGATGATTTGATACTTCATTTTTATAAAAGTTACACCGGTGTCGTTTGAACACTCCTCTTAAAAATAAGATAAAGTACCAAAAATATAATTTAGTCAATATTATTTATTCAACATAATACATTATTATTATCTATTCTAATGTCAAAAAGACACTTCGTGTCTCCATTGATTTTTAAAATATAAAATAAAAGTAAGTTGTTAATGATATGAACAATTTTTAAGTAGTTGTAATTGTATGAGTAATTTACTCGCTACTTTAAAGATAATACAAGTATGAATTTTTTGTTATTTTTACACCCCTTAAGTTATAATTTAAATATGATGTTTTGAATTTCCCAATTGTTATCTATTTTTGTCTTTTATTAGTTTCTTTTTTATATTTTATTTCTTTTTTAATTCACTTTTCATTCTTAATGGGTGTTTATTTTGTAGGCTTAAATATGTTTTGACCTATACAAAATGAGTATGTTTTGATTTTAGTCCGTTAAAAAGAAATCATTGTTTCTCATCCTTTTAAAATTTGAAACTATTATTTTATTCACTACTATTATATGACTCTTTTTAATTATTTATATATTCATTAAAAGGTTATGTGATCATCTCAAGTGATACTTACAACTATTCATGATATTTTATCAGTATGTAATATCTAAATATTTTTTTTATAAATGTTTAAAATAAGCATTATATATGTACATTAAAATGTTTATTAGCAACTAAAAATAACTTTGAATTTTAGAGGGGTTAAAATAAAAAAATATTTTATAAAAACTAAAACTAAAATCTACTCATTTTACAATAATAAAAATAATATTTACAAGTTTTAAAAGAATAAAAATATAGAAACCAAAATGAAAATTCATTTATTTTACATAAACTAAAAGTATATTTAAACTTTTTAATGTAATATTTATAATTTTATTTATATATAATATTTTAAAATAAATTACGCTCATTATTTCTTATGTGCGTCACTGTTACCCGAATAAGTGTTACCGAATAGTTCTTATGCGCTTAACTGTTATAAGTGTTACGAATAGTATTTTCTTATACCTTATTGTTCCACTAACTCAGTTGTGTTCATAAAATAGTAGCAAAGTTTAATTTATTTATCTTAGTCCATCACGTAAAAGGTTCCCAGTTTCCCAAAATTACCCATTTAATTCAGTCCAACGCAATGGCGGAACTTGAATAAAAGATTTAGAGATGCTAAATTATATTTTTTATATATAAATTAAATATTTTATTAATTAAAAAATAATAAAATTTTTCATTTTTTTTATTCAAAATAAACATATATAATAATAAAATTATGATTGATTCTAAGGTATTAAGAGGGGGAATTGGTCGATGTTTAATTGACCAAGTAGTATATTAATATGATCCTTATTAAGTTTTATATTGAATTTATATTAACATCATTTTGTCTAAATTTAAACTCGTTGAATCATTTTCTATTAATGTTGGATTGTCGTGTGGAACAAATTTACGTTTGATTACTTATTTTGATTTATGGTAACAACTAATTATTATGGTGTCATTCGTGTATTTACTTGTTGACTTAAAAACTTATCTTAACGATAAATTATTATCATACAAAAGATTCTTGTAAAGAAAAATAGAAGGTTTCATTGTTTCTTTTATCGAATATCATGTTCTACATCTGTATTTTATTGTAATAATTGTTTGACTCTATATAGAAGTCCACAATACATGCGTCGGTATCTATTTATTAGATACTTTGTCCTTTTTTTCTCATTTGTGTCTTATTTAATTATTATTTTTATCACCTCTACGAATTGTTAAATTCATTGAATTTTATTTGATATTATTATTTAAGTAAAATAAAATATCAGTTTGTGTTTAATATAAATGAATTGATGTAAGTACAAGTATATAGAATCCTTGAAAAAGTGTGAGTAACTTACTAGTTTAATTCCCGATATGCATTCGGAAGGAAAATGATAACCTCCTGGTCCTGGTTAACATGTTTAGTAAGGCAAGCAGGATAACGTAATGGTATGGTATGCCACAAATGTGAACACATACTTTTCAAAAACACGCATTTCACGTTTACAAATAGGGATTAATTTTAAATAACGATGAACAAAGGAGAACCTTAGTATTTTAAATACGACCACTAAATCCTACAACTTAATTATCATAGTGCTCTATGCATTTGTTAATGGATTCCATCTCATATTCAACAATACAATGTACCGAGAAATCAACAAATATAATGATTAATAAAATAAAATATAGATATAATAAGAAGGCCTTGAAGTGAAGAAACAAGAAAGAAAGCCCCTAGAAAAGGGGAAGCCTTTGATGGAATCAATCCATAATAACAAAAACTAGTATTTGAGGAATAATTAAGTTCCCAAAAAGGTATTCAATCAATCTGTACAGATCCACAGTCGATCCTGTATAATCTATAATGGCATGGGGGGTTGCAACAACCGTGGCTAAAAAATTATTGAATGAAAACTGTACAGTTAGATAGACCCCATTCACTGCTGCCACTGGCACTGGCTTTGCAACAGCCACACATTCTTCAACTGCGACTGCACCGTCTCCCTAAAATTCTTCACCTTCATTAAGCAAAAATGGGTCGAACAAACACCCATTCCAGGACCGGGACCCGACCCGACCCGGCTCGTTTTCAAGAGATAACAAACAGGCCCACACCCGACGCCCTTCCCCTGAACCACAATCCCCCACGCCTTCGTCGTCCTCTCTCCTCCGTCCTCCTCCGCCGCCTCGCCGTCCAACTCCTCCACGAATATCACCCCCTCCGGCAGCGGCGAGTCTCCGCTCTCCCACCTCTCCTTCACGGCCTCCCAATCCTCCACCACCACCTTCTTGTCCGTGGTGAGAGAGGGGGCTCCGGCGTGAACCTGCACCAGCAGCGGCGCCTCCCTTAAGCTCTTGACAATCTCCACCACCGACTCTCTCATCCAGCGGTCCAGCCTCTCCTGCCCCTCCACGGCGTCCTTGGCTCCGTACAAATCGAGTCCGGTGCGCGTGGCCGCCGAGATCCTCCTCTTACTGGGCATGGCGAGGGAGCAGGCCGGCGGGGCCTTCCCTCCGCAGAGAAGATTCTTGAGTCGGAGATTGGGGTTGTTTCCGGCGCAAGCAATTCGCAGAGACGAGGCCATGGGAGAATGAGAAAAGAGAAAGCGTGCGTGGGTTGGGTTGGGTTGGGGCACGTCCTCGAGAATTGAGAATTGAGAATTGAGAATTGAGAATTGAGAATTGAATTTGAAGCAAGGTGTATAAGAGGAGAGGTTCAAAATTAATGCCGCATAAATTGCAATGATTCAAAGGTGACTCTCACACTCTGACTCCGACTGCGACTCCTATTTCTCTTCCTCTCTGTTCCAGCGCTCAATGCGATTAACCATTTCAATCCTAACTCCTCTTTTTCCTTCGATCGATGGATTTATACGCGAGGTTCTATTTAATAGCGTGGGCCGCGGGACACTGGAATTACAATTGGAATGGCACGAGCCCCGGTTGCATGGGAACGTGCCTTCCTGCCTTCCTCCACGAGCTCGCGTGTGATATGGAAATTGGAAACTCCACGAGTGCGGCTTTCTGTTTCGGCTTACGCTGCCCACGCGTTCTGATTACTTTTCACTGACGGTGGAGATGGGATTGGGACAAAGGAGTCGGATTTACCAAGTGTAGGGGATTGGGTGCCACGCAAAGAAACGAAACAGAGAATGCCACGAGGTGGCACGCGAAAAGTGCATGGATTGCGAAGGCCGCCACTTGCTTCGTCGAAAGCTTGGCCAGTAGACTGCGACGTGGATCACACGTCCACACCATGCTTTCCACGTCAGCGTTAAACGTGCAAAATCTATGCAAGCCTACGCAATTATTGTTGCTTCCCTTTTTCTTTTTTTTTAATTGCTTGTGAGTTGAGTTGGGATAAAGCAATAATGATTATGCAACGGAATAACGAAGATAAATACTCTATTTTATATTCCTTTAAATTACTGTAACACCTTCATCCATGATCATTGGATAGCAACTGCTTCTTAACAATAAAGATCAAATTTTCGAATTTTCATAAAATAAATGATAAATTCATCAATGATCTAGTAACAAGAAAATCTCTTTATTATCGTCTCTTAAAATTACTTTTCGTTCATCTACTTTTATTTATTTATTTTAAATATCGAACATATCTGAAAACAAAGCAACCAGAGAATAATGTTTTTTTTTTAATTAAATGATGTATTTATGTTATTAAGTGAAGGAAAGGTTTTGTAATTGTGATTAAGTAAGTTTTAACTGAAGGTTAATGAAAAAAAGGTTAATGTTTTAGTCTTCTTAATGAGTCTTCTATCCTTATAATTGTTGTAATTGTGCTTATATATGATTAATTTTGTGTATTAATGCTTATTGATTTGATTTGAGTTGCCTGTGGTCTATGAGTTCCTGTGAAAATTCTAAGGGGATGTATTAAGATAATTGTATGAAAAGAGATCATGAGTATGCAATTATGTGAAAGTGAAATTAAATTTGAGTATTGATGGTATAATAGAGTTATATTAAGCTTTTATCAACAATTAAAAATTTATCTTAGACATTTTTTTTGAAAAATTATTAAAAAATTTAAACTAATTTATCATATACTTAAAAAAAAGCTTTGTGACCTTTTAAATACACTTAATGGAGGTTAAATATAAAATAAAAAGTTAAATTATATTTTTATCCTCCTATAATATTAAATCTAGGGTTGCAAAATGAGCCAGCCCGGCCCGTTTTAGCCCAGCCCACCAATGGCCCGCCAAAAACTGACTAGGCCGGACCGGGCCGTCAATGAAAAACGGGTTGGAAACGTTGGCCCGCCCTGCCTAAGGACGGACTGGCGGGTCGGCAGGCCAGCCCGCATACCACAAAAAAATTGTAAAAAAATGGAAAAAATATATTTTATGTTTAAATAAAAAAATTACTACAAATAAATAAATATAACCATATGAAATTAAAAATGCATACATATTGTACATAATATATGTTCAATAAAAGCAAATTACTAAACTTAGAACAAAATTAAATAGAAATTAGTCCACTTACACCAAAATCAAAACTAAATTATAAACTTACAAATTACTAATAATCTAAATTTTTTTATAGTCCACAAAACAAGTCCAAACACAATTAATCAACTTTGACTTTCTATTTCAAGAATATTAGAAGCTCCGTTGGAAGAAGTTGTCTCTATTTTTTTTGTCTTGATCATCTTCATCCTCATCTTCTACATCAAAATAAATTAAACATAAAAAAATTAAAGTAAGGATGTTGAAATGAATATCAAAATTATATAAATAATTACATTTAAGAATAAAAATTGAATTAAATGAATTACCCGAATTAAAACCATACTTCCAACTAGAAACACAAATAATTGCTTCTACATTTTCAGGCAAGAGACGGTTTCTATACTTGTTAAGGATACGAGAACCAGTACTAAATGCAGATTTAGATGCAACTGTGGTAATAGGGATGCTTAACAAGTCCCTAGCCATTAAGGAGAAATCCGGAAAACGTTGACTATTATTCTTCCACCATTGTAGTATATCCATATGCTCCGTAAAATCAAGATCTAAAGTGGGTTCATCTAAATATGTATCAAGCTGAGTCCTTCCAGATTTATTAGCAACTTGAAGCTTGCACATTTTTAATTCCTTATATGATAAGAAAAAAAATAAGTTAGAAATATACATAATATTTATATGGAGGAAATCATGATTTCAATAAATTAAAGTAAATAACTTACATAAAAAAGGCTTGGTTTGCTATTGATCGAAGATGAAGAAACATCCTTACGCTTTAGATTTTGAGCATTTAATTTAGAACCATGGCTAAAATAATGGGAGAAAAGCATGTAATCTTTTTCCAATCTTATTTCCCAAGTAAGCGAATCAATTCTTTCATAGCAATAATCCAATGTTTCTAACTTCATCCTTGGGTCTAAAATTGCACCAAATGGAAGCACAACACTATACTCATCCCAATACTTTTCAAATTTCTCCATCATCAATCTAGCCATATCTCTTACAACTTTATCATCATCTGTTACACTTCTCATTAAAAGGCATTGGATTTTTAAAACTTGTAAAAAATACAATTTGGAAGTAGGATAACTTGTGCCAGAAATTAATGTTGTAATTTCATAAAATGGTTGCAAGAATTTACAAATCTTTGTTGCTCTTTCCCATTATTCATCTGAAGGATAATATTTGTAATTTTCATCAACCAAATGTAGACTTCCAAAAACACATTGATATTTAAGAGCACTTTGAATCAAAAAAGTTGAATTCCATCTTGTAGGTACATCTAGACACAACGCACTTGATGAATTAATGTCACTAAAATTTTGAAGACATTGTTTGAATTTGATCATTCTACTCTCTGAACCCCTTACATATTTGATGCTAGTTCTAATTTGATCCAAAGTGCCATCAAGTACCTTTAATCCTTCTTGAACAATCAAATTTAAAACATGAGCACAACAACGCACATGAAAAAATTCACCATCACATATCAACCCTTTTTGCAAAACAAGTTGTTTTTTTAACGTCTGTTGTAGAACATCATTAGCAGAAGCATTATCCAAAGTGATAGAGAAATTTTTTTTCTCTATTCCCCAATCTTGTAAGATAACTCAAAACCAGTGTGAGGGGGAGGCATATGATGAAAGTTAAGAATCTTGCTATTTAACTTCCAATTTAGATCAACATAATGAGCAGTTAAACTAATGAAACCCTCAGTATTACAAGATGTCCATAAATCAGAAGTTAAACAAATCTTATTAGGAATGGTATCCAACTCACTTTTAAGCCTTGCCTTGTCTCTAATAAAAATTCTCCACATATCAGCCTTAGAAGTATTTCTAGAAAATGCATTTGCATCAGGATTCAAATACGCTATCAAAACCTTAAACTCAGGACTCTCAATAAAATTGAAGGGCAAACCACGTCTCATCATTAGATGACAATACAACTCACGAAAAATCATTTGATCTATCTTTCTTGATTTCAACTTTCCTTGCATGTCTAAGATCATTTGACTCATATCTTCAGATTTACTTTTGTCACATTTGGGAATGTGATGATTTAAATGAGAAGTCCCATATGTTTTGCCACCAACTACATAAGTTTTACCACAACCATTACACTTTGCCCTTTCTTTTCCATCATCACCCTTTCCCATCCTAGTAAAAAATTTCCAACAATCTGATGTTGTGGACTTGACCCTTTTCTTATCATGTTGAACATCAGTGGATTCAAAATATTTTTCAACATCCTCTACCTCAATTTCATTATCACAAACAATAATAGGTTTACTAATTGACTCTTCTATTTCAATTTCCAAATCTAAATATTCCTATTAAAGTTATTCAACACACACTACTAAGTACTAATCAATACAACTAAAAATAGATCTCACAATAATATCACAAAAATAATAAGCAAGTGGCTAGATTAAATTATGAAAGGCATAATTTATCAATACTAAGTAGCTCCCTTTTATCAAATTAAATATTTTCAAACTAGTTTCAATACATCCATAAGCTGGCTCATTTAAGTTAGTTTAGCATAATTAATTAAGCATGCATTTTAAGACTCCATCACATTTAATATTAAAGGCTGCAAGATATATAATTTTTATTACTTGGTCAAATAAGATAATAAACATGATCAAAACTAGTGCCATATATATATACCTTAATTGTTTGATAATTATTTGTCCCTGCAGCTATGAACCGGTTTAGTTGATATTAGTTCCAGAAAAGATTAAATTTTAATTACTTAGAGGAGGAAAAGAGTTTTCTAGCAGGACGTACGTGTATTTTTTCTCAATCCAATTTTTGGTTAGATTAATGTAATGTGAAGTAAAACATTAATATCCAATTGCATTTAGTTACATTGCAAATCTACAATTTCCAATTGCATAATTAATGTCCTCATGTACGTACAGTATAACAAAATATAACTTATTAAATTACATGCTAAATGTAATAGTTTTAATTAAATAAATATAATGTATTATTTAAAAGTAGAAATGGAAATCAAGGAAGCAGAAGGCACAAATAAAATCGGGAGAAAAGAAACAATGAACAACATGAAGTTACCACTTTCCGAAGAGGGCTTCAAAGAGGAAAAAAGCGACGAACGAAATCACCGAGGATCTATGGACTATGTACTACGTGGACTTCATCCGTGGAGTGGAGCTGTGGAGGAAAGGGAAGAAAAGAAACCCTTCTAATCTTTTAAGCTGTGGAGAAAAGTTAGGGACGACTGAACTTGATTTTTTTAGCTACAAAGAAGAAACCCTGGATGGCTAGGCCGGGTTGGCGAGTTATGACGGGCCAACCCGCTATTTGGCCCAACGGGTTGGCAGGTTTGGCAAGGCAGGTTTGGCAGGTTGACGAGTTGAAATAATGGGTCTAGCCCGCTAATTTTTGGCGGGCCAACAGGCCAGCCCGCGGGTCACAACCCATTTTGCCATCCCTAATTAGATTAACTCTAATAGTGGACACATGCAACACATCACTTAAAGTCAGTGTTTTCCTAGATATGAGTTTCGAAAGTACCTTTCCTTTCCCAAGCACTGGAGTAGTACTAGAGTCACTAAGATACACATGTTCTTCTCCATTTTCCACAGAAGTGTAGGAGGTAAATGCATGGTAGCTTTAGAATCAACTAGCTACTTGCTCACATCGATCACAACATTTACTTGAGAAACGATCGCAATAATAATATCATCACCTTCAACTAGGTATGCCTTAGGCTTAGGAGGATTGTTGTTTCCTGACATTTTATATTTGCATTGGGATGCATAATGTCCTGGATTTCAACAAACATAACAATTTCCTTTTTTTCTTAAAGGAGGGGTTAGATACAACATTTTGTGAGACATTATTATGAAATTTCTTTTTTCTATTGTGATCATATTTGTTATTGTACCTTTTATGAATTGATTTATCTTCTAACATATTTTCTATTGTAGATAATGCCTTCAATCTTGTAGTAACACATTCCTTCCTGTTGGTATCTTCTATGATGATGTGAGTGATTAGGTTTGATAGAGACATCTACTTGTGTCTGTGCTTCAGTTGTTATTTACAGCCCATCCAAGATTCAAGCAACTTTTCAATTAGTAGTTCGGATACAAACTCATCAGCCAATGTAATATTTCTAACCTTTAAATCCTCAAGTAGCTTACGGTACTCAATGATTTGAACTTTGATGTCTTTGTCTTTGATCATTGTCCAACAATATTAGTTGTCAATGATGAACCGTTGCCTTACCACATCCTCAACAGTATATTTAAGGATGAAAGATTCCCAAATATCCTTGCTTTCCTTGTAGGAATAATACACATCGAACAAATCATTAGATAATGCACTTAGTAAACTTAATTTTGCCATTTAAGTCTAGTCAAAGGCTTACAATGTATACATGTTACATTTTGCACACAGAATATGAGGTTCATCTTTTAATTCACATAACTTGGTCATTTCTTAACATTTTATGTGATTATTGAGTCTAAACTGTATTTATGTTATTCTTGAATCTAAATTGTAGCCTCAAATGTGTACTTTCTAACCTAACAATTGGAACTCAAATTCATTAATCACACACGGAGAAATAACATAAATACCAAAGTATATTCATATAAGAATTTTTGGAACAAGACATAACTCATACCTAAACTCTTTTGTCTCAATCCCATCGGTAAGAAATCTTCATAAGTTACGTTACACTTCTAAAAGATACAATTTACACATATAACTACTATCCTTTCACTATCATCACAATAATTTCCTTTAGGGTTTCTCACAGAAACCCACACGGATCTTAAATCATAAAATTTTCCATCCAAAACATGAACTTAATTATTCATTCAAACAATTCATGCAATTAATTATAAGTGAAAAGAATAGGGAATAAAATAAAAACATTAGGGGAAACACCTCATACATAGGTATATAACATACATAAGATTGGGGATCAATTTCACTATTTGGCATACAAACTCACACTTAGAGCGAGGTTTCTTACTCTTCCTTACCTAGATAAGCTCTAAATGATGAGTGCACCACTTCAGATTAATTTCCTTCTTGTTTCTGTTCTCCGAGCTCTAAAGCTCGTACATGAAAATAAAGGTATAAAAAGGATTTGATTAAAAAACTTCTCTTTTAAAAACCCTAATCTCTCTTTAACCCTATAGTTAAACATAGTAATCACAGTTATTTAGAAGATCCATTCTTTATTATTATTATATTATTATTTAATAAAATATCATATAATATATTACATAATTAAAATAAATATTAAACAATCTCAATTAATAAATTTAATAAATAAGATAAAATATAATTTAACCTAAATTATAGGAAGTGTAATATATATAAATTCAATTAAATTGATCGAATAATTCATTGCAAGCCCGAAGGCTAGGCCCAAAGGTAACAACAAGAAAGGTATTAATGAAACGAGGTCTTGAGCTTCGGAGGATTTTGGGCTCGATGTTAAAAGGGGAAGACTGCTCAAAACTCAAAAGAAGGCCGTTGTTTTCTTTTGCATTATTTTTTGTTACTATTCGCACATTCATTATTTTTTTAATTGTCATTCCAAAATCAAATCTATTAAATTGAATAGTGAGTTATTGCTTCTTTCAATATTATTCTGGAATTAAATTTTTTAAAATTAAATATGTTTTGAACTTTATTTTTCCCGAAAAGTGTTTCTAATATGTTCTGAAACAGTCACTTCGATATAATAGCAGAGTTCTATCCTCGTCATTGTAAAAAAATATGTTTTGAAATTAAATTTTTAAAGTGTACTTATTACATTTCGAAATTAAATTTTCATAAGGATGTTTTTAATGTGTTTCGAAGTTTAAAAAAGCATTTTGAACGTGATGCAAAATTAAGTTTCCCCAAGTATTTTCAATATATTCCAAATGCCTTCTTGAAGATATTTAAAAGAAAAATAAATAAATAAAAAACAAAATCATATATGTTTGTCAACGAAGATATTTAAAGTGGCATTACTCTTTCCGAGTCCCACCAGCAATTCGTTTTATGATGTTAGGTAAGACAGGGCAGATGGCTGGATTGAAGCAGTTGTTAATAAATTTAGAACCATTAATGCCTTCTTGTTCTTTTGGAAATGTTCTTTTGGCCAAAAGAGAATGCAAATGCAACACAAGAGTACAAAATTGAGCTGCACAAAATACAATTGTTTATAGATGGGTTGGTAGAATCAACGGTGGCGCTCGTGCCACCTACCGCAAGACTAGTCAAAGGCAACCAAATTGACTGCAAAGTAAGCATTATCAACATGCTTAACCCATTTCATTTCTTGGATAAAGTTACTATTGTTACACCATCTAAATGTCACTGTTCAAATGAAAAATATAATTAAGGAATATTATTTGTTTGTGCTGTGACATGCCATGGTAAGATGAGAAACAAAAGAGATTCACTAATCTAACTAAGGGGGCTTGATGTGATGAGTTTAGGTAGTGGCCACCCTCAACAAATTATAGAAAGTTAGCAATTGGTAAACTCACTGGTGCATCAACTTTCTCCTACCTACCCCCTAATACTCGGCCTTGTCAAGAAGAGGGGATTTAATAAATAGCCTTATTTGACATCTCTACCTCACCCTTTATCAAAAGCTCTCTCCATATTTGTTCACTTACCCCTCTTCTTCCCGTTTCTATCTCCATCTTCATCAAACATAACTAGTAAGATCTCTCTCTATCCCCTTCTCAATCCAATGAGTTGCTAACGGTTCTTTATGATTTAGGTGCTTCGTTATATGATTATATCTAAGAGATATTGTTTATGTGAATTTAATTTCAGTGGCTACTGAAGAGGTATTTATTGATGAAATTTCTTATCCTTCCAAGATCACTACTACCAAGCCCCTATCTCTGTTGGGTAAAGGTAAGTTGCTTATATCCTCTATTTATGTTCCTACCCTGTTATTACAAAGTGTTTTTCTTATTTTGACTCTCAAGATGGGATAAAGTCTAGATTTTTTGATATTCATATGAGCTAATGTTTCGATCCAAGTTTAAAATTGAAACGTGAGGAAGCAAGGGATCTAGATCATTGACTTCAAATTTTTTTTCCACACCAATATAACTGTTGGAGTATTTGCTATGCTTTGATTCATTTATGAGTAGCAAGTAGACACAACTTGATTTCCTTGTTTGATCAGGAATCACCGACATGGAGATCCACTTTATCCATGTGAAATTCTATTCAATTGGGGTTTATTTGGACACTGAAGTAGTAAGCCACTTGCAGCAGTTTAAAGGAAAATCTGCAAAGGAGCTGGAAGAGAATGATGAGTTCTTCGATGCTCTCATTTCTGGTAAGTTGTGATCTATAGTAATCCCAAAGTTCTGTCAAATATATCTTTTAATAAGAGCCCATCTATTTATTAATTGGTATAAATGGAATATTAATGTAGTTTAATAAGTATGTATTGTCAGCAATCAGCATAAATACTTTTACAATCAATAAAAATTATCCGTTATATGAGATAATTATGATTGAAGTCAATAAACTTATTATACATGACAGAATGAGATGTTGAATGATAGTGTGAAAATCATTCAACCGTTGGTGCATATATTATTTATTCATTAGGACATACTACTAAGTAGTGAATGACCAATGTATATATGCACAGCTCCGGTGGAGAAGTTTATTAGACTTGTGGTGATCAAAGAGATCAAGGGTGCACAATATGGGGTTCAGATTGAGAGTTCTGTGAGGGATAGGTTGGCAGCTGAAGACAAATATGAGGATGAAGAAGAAGAAGCTTTGGAAAAAGTTGTTGAGTTTTTCCAATCTAAGTACTTCAAGAAACATTCAGCGATCACATACCATTTCCCAGCAAATTCTGCCACTGCTGAGGTAAAGTAGCAGCATGGATTATTGCTGATATTGGAGTCAGCTTTAGCAAATGACTTGATTGTTTATTATTGTGTTTGTTGTACAGATTGTGGTCACTTTGGAGGGGAAAGAAGACTCAAAGTATGTGATAGAGAATGCCAATGTGGTAGAGGCCATCAAGAAATGGTACCTTGGTGGATCAAGGGCAGTGTCTTCCACAACCATTAATTCTCTTGCTAGCACTCTCTCCGTGGAGTTGTCCAAGTGAACATAACTTTGCATTGTGTAATCTTGGGGTTTTGTGTTGTGTTGCAAAGATGTAGTAATTGGGATTTTCTCCACGCAATGTTTGCGGATTTCTGCTTTTCGACTTTTTGGAATAATGTTAATCTTGTAACTTGCCAAATCCTTGAATGCTCTATGTATGGTTATTCTTCATATTGTTAGAAATCACTTAATCATAAGAGTTAATCATCGGTATATTGCAAGTTTGAGTTTTTAATTTTGAAGCTGATCACGTTTTTTGTCGTAATTTTTGTTTACACATAAATCGTTTTAACTTTTATATTAAAATTAGTATTTTAATCAAAATTAATATTTATTATATATACACTATTATTTTACCTTTATGGTTGAACTTCTTTATGAAGAATAATGTTGATGCTCTTTTAGTGATTCCAAACAACAGAGTATTAAAATTAAGTACCTACACCAATAAATTCTAACGATATAGTTAATAGGAGGATCATATAGTTCTAATATTTATTAACCACTAAAAGCGTTAAGGCCCAGAACCCATCTCTTATTCCAAGTGTAGCCCAAATTGTGATCTATCTTATTTGAACTCTAAGTTATGTTTGATAAAAAAGAAAGAAATAAGTGAGAAATAGAGGATTGAAAAATATGAGTGAAAATAAAAAAGAAATAAAGTGAAAATTTAGTTTGGTTGAGGAGAAATATTAAGAAATAAGTGAGAAATAATGTATATATTAAAAAAAGAGAGAAAAAAGAGTGAAGTTCATTACCTTTTAATTTTTCACCTTCTTATTTATTATTAGCTAAATATCTCAACTTATTTTCACTATCATATTTTTATTCGCTCCTTCCTATTTTTCACTCATTTCGTTTTAACCAAACAAGAGTTTACATGGAGGTTGAATTATAATTACTCATGAATCATGATCATAGAATTCATGTTGATGTCCTTCTAAATAGTGCAACTTTAATGTAAGATAAATCTTCTCGAACATTATAAAGAAAATAGGTTGAACTTCAAATATGAGAAGGATTTTATCTTATGGTATTTAATTAAGCTTTGGAATAAGGCAATATTTTGAGATATGTTAGAAGTAGTTTTGGTTTTTGATTTAAAAAGTAAATAATTATGATTTTTCATTATTACAAATCACAATTGAGGTGAACTACCACTTTGATTCTTAAAAGTATGTGATGCTACCAAGGAGAAAAGTTACTAAAAAAATCATTGAATTTGTATTTTGTCAATAGTGAATGCTAGTAATATTATGTCATGTTCTCCCATCACATAACATTCACATTAGTAATGAGGAGGAATTTGTTTATTTCAGGAGTAAATCTACCTAAACTTACTTTATTTAATAATTCATGTTTTACATAAAAATTCAACAATCTAACTATTAAATTTAAAATTCTTAATGTATAGGTCAAGTCTGCAAATTTTAAAAATTTAAAAACCATTTGATATTTCATTTTGTTAATTCAGATTCATGGATAATCAAAAAATCATTGTATACGTTAATCTAAATTAATGAAACAAAATATCAAATAGTATTCAAATTTGTTAAAAATTTATTAACTTGACTTGCGTATTAAAAAATTTAAATTCAATGATAAGATCGTTAAAATTTAATATAAAACATAAGTTATTGAATGAAATATACATAGATAGACTTACTCTTACAATAAAAGGATCTCTCCTCCATTAGTAATAATTAATATGAAAATTTCAAGGACTAAAATAACTATGATATTGTTTTATCTTTTTCTTTTTGCATCCATAAGCAAAGATTAAAATGAAACATTCATATATCAAAATAATTTTTTTATATTTCTTCGTAAGATCCCGATTTCCACTTAGTAAACTATTTCTCCTCACCTCTATTCCACTTCAAAAACTCAACTTCCTGACACATCTTAAAGTAAAGAAAAATGTTACCCTTATGTAAGGAGGAAGAGTATGGTACATCACACATTATGTACAAACTGTTAATATGTTAGTTCTTATTCAATCATCTAAAGTTCCATATCCAAATCGAAAACATGGGGTCATGGAGCATTCATTTTCAACTCTGAGACGCTCCTTTCTTCAGGGTCAATCTTGCATTTGTATAAAAAAAAAAGAAAAAAAAAAGAGAGAAAGTGTTTCAGTCTCAATCTTGCACTCAACTTTACATGTGCATACAAATGTTACCTTTGGGTGCAACCTGTCTTCGTCATGTAAATAGTTGACCTGTTTAATGCATTTGTACAAGTGCACAGGCTAATGATATATATACCTCATTTTTTTTTTAAGTACACCTCCCTTATTTTTTAAAATATTTATATATTTTTATTTTATTTTTAATTTTATATTTCTAACTTTCAATTTATTATTTTTTCTTTTCACACACCTCTTTCCTTCTCTTTTCCAGTTTTCACATGCACTATTTTATCTTTATCTAATTCCTCACATATTTTAGTGGGTACTTTTAGTTCTCTCGATTTTTATATTACTCTCTTATTTTGTCACCTCTTTCACTTTTTCACATGCACTCAAATCATAAAATTGGTAGGCGACAACATTGTAGATACGTGTAGCTCCCTCAACAGTTTCTATCAAACTAGATACATATTTTTTCTTCCAACACTTCCTTTCCTTTCACCCCTCCAAAAACCTTAACATTAAGTTTAGTGTTATGAAAAAATACATTTTCACTATTATAGAGTACTATGCGAATAGTAAAATTAGTGAGAAAATTGAAAGAGGAAGGGAAAAAGAATAATGTAAAACTAAAAGAATTAAAATTACCTACCAAAATAGGTGGGATTGAAGAAAAATTAAGGGGGTGCATATGAAAATAAGAGAAAGAGGTATGTAAAAAAAGTGTTAAATTAAATGTTAGGAGTATAAAATTAAAAATAATTAAAAATAATAAAAATGAAAATATTTTAAGAATTTGATTATTTTTTTAAAAAGGGTGTGTACTTATAAAAAAAAAAAGAAAAAAAAAGAAGTGTATATATCATGATCCATGTGCAAATTGTGTGCTTAGTGGACCAAAACGGTTAATCCAGAAGTAGGCCATAGGACCCTGTTTCCCAACTTAAGCCCAAATGCTAAGAAGGAAAGGAAAGCTAGCAAAAAAGGAATAAAAAAACCGGATACCCCCATTATCTTCAAATTGAATGAAAAATAATATACTAAAAAGAAAAGGCTTGTTATCTAGTGCCCTTAAAACATTGATATATTAAAATTATATGATAGAGAGTGTTGTTACACTTTTCAATAAATAAATAAATAAACTATTTTTGATTCCTTGACCTGTGTTCCAAGGTATTAATTAACATTTTCCCAAAAACAATAACACTCATTATCAAACAGGTATGTGAGGAGGGGAAAGATGATGGTGAATGGTCCATCTTTGAATAATGCCTGAAAAAAAAATGTCAATTTCAAGCTGTAGAGTATCTCAATTCCCATTGATTGGTTGAAATCCATGGGTAGTGCTGAAATGAATTTTTATTTTCAAAATGTGGGCCTAAGAAGCCCACGAAGGATATTAGAAGAGATGAAGAAAGAGAGATTGGGATTCCATTCTGTGAACAGAAGAAAAATCATGATTATTTGTTGTTATATATGCTCTTGTACTCAAATTGCCCTTCAAATCAAACAGGGAAAGAAAAAAAAGGCTAAATAAATGGGCAAAATTGGTCTCCCTTATCTAACGACTAACTTAGCCAATGGTTCTCTTTTCTTCACATTTGCTTTCCACTCATCGGATTTCTGTAGGTAAAATGTTCACACGTCATGTTGTATAATAAAACCGATAAGGATTTTAATGTTGAAGTAGACCATAGGTTAATTAATTAAACCCATGTAGCCATGTAGGCATTATGAAGTGGAGAGTAATTCCTCCCATACAAACTATTTTTATAATATTGAATTATGCTCAAATTTAAACTTTTTAAAAATGGTATCAAAGTTTCATAAATAATTGTTGAGCTTATTAGGCTACAACCACTCAAATTCTTATCAATGTGTGAGGGGTGTGTTTGGTAGTGAGCCAAACCAGTTCTTGAGTTACTTACATCTCAGTTTGTGAGTTAAAAAAAATGTATACGTCTAAAATCGGTGTTTTACCATCTACTTATTGTGATAGACCTGATATTTCATTCTTTGTTCATAGTATAGAACCACCAAGGTTATCATAGGAGCCTCTACTCTAAACATGCTCAAGGTGAACCTTTTCTATTTATTTTCAAATTACTAACCTTGAAATCACACAAATTAAGACCAGAGAAATTGACCGCAATATGTCCCCTACTCAACTCATCAAGTGATACGATACTTGTCATCAATCTCTAGTGGATACTAAAGAAGATTTACCTATGGGAATTGGGATAAATGCCCAAGTCTTTCAGCCTCTAAGTGGTGGATTAAAATGAGAGAGAATTTAAATAAAGCTTCGGTTGATTGACAAGAGTACTATAAAAGAATAAAGATAGGTTTTCAAAATTTCAATTGTATTGCTGGTATCACCATGACAATATTTGGGTTTCTTGAATCCCGATTCATGAAATGGATGTTGTACTTCAAAGAATGTTGGCGTATGGAAGCTTGACTAAATAAGTAAAGTGGAATGAAAAGAGATGTTTTCTCTTTATGCCTTGTGATCTGCATTAAAATGGACAGAAGACAAATTTTGAACTTTTTTAAAATATCAGATGTAAAGTAACTTCGAAATGTGTAGCAACTGTCTGTCTATGCAAACACTTTGAATAATAATTGACTAGAGAGTCTGGCACATGTCTTCCACGTGGAAAGATAGTAATTTTTAAAGAAGTTCTCGCTTCTGCTTTTATGCTTGTTGCTTATTGACAAGTTTCTGATTAGATTTGGAATCAGATTTCGAGCTGTCTTTTTGAGGTGCTTATTCAGGGCTTGGTTTATATCTGTAATAATAATTAAGGTTGTTTCTCTGTACTAATTAAGGTTATTTCGATTGAAATATTTGGACCATGTGAATTTCCCATTATCAAAGAATATGCTACTCACATGGAAGGGGAAAAGAGCATCGGTGTTTGCTTTGACATGCAGAGCAATTGAGCAAATAAATGACCTTTCATGGGATGTCTGATTGATGGTCTTCTGATATTGATTGCCAAGTCACATGCCATTCGGATTCGGATAATCAGTTATAGATTTAGTTACCTCTGCAATCCAAATGCTCATCATGAACTAAATATATAATATATACTTACACATACACTAACTACTTCGTATACTTTTAAAACCCACTTGAGCTCAATTCAGATCATAAGTGTACCTGGTGTACAGGTAGGAGGGTTCGGCCACCACCTCATCGGCCGCCGAATGGTAGGACCAGGTAGCCGAACGTCAATCGGCCACCTGGATCGGCCTATCATCACTTGATATTCTTAATCAGAGATTAGGGGTTAATTAGTCGATTAAAGTGTATTACCTAATACAGTAAATATGTTGCAGGGCCCATCAGGTCCAGGGCCCATAAATGTCTCAGGTCAAAAGGTAACGTCATTGTTCATTAATTATCCTAGATATTCGAGCTTGTCCTGACTTGAGCGTTGGAATGCCTTTTGCAGGTACCAATCCCTTCACCAGCGCATTGGATCGGAGCTCTTGTTTGGCCTTTGGACTACTAGAAGACTTAGTGTGCCCATCAGACAGGTACAATAAAGAAAGGCTTTAGGCAAGTAATCAAGAAAAAAATAAAAATAAAAGAGGGGGGAGGGGATGGTTAATTACTCAAAAGTTTGAACTAGTAATTCTTGACAAGATATTTCTTCTCTTCTATTTTCTGTAGAGAATGCCCATCCAATTATCCAAGTTTTAACTTGTCATTCATCATATGCATCTTAATCTATTTACAAACAACCAGCATTCAAGATTTAAAATCCCTTTAGATTTAGATTTATAAGAGTTTTTTAAAGTAAAGAAACTCTTAAAAATACTTCAAATTTGTATCCACACAAACTCTTAAAACTATTTCGTATGTCAGGAAAACATGCAAAAACAAAGTGGCCTCGAAAACCATAATCCATACATGCACTATTCCGACACCAATATGAATATCAACCCAACATCTTCAATTCTTCATACATACATTAAAAAAAAAGTTTCAAATTCAAGGATAAAACCAACTAGTCTCCATTTATTCATCCATTCTTTCTCTGAATTCTGAGGGTGGAGGATTAAGTTTGCAATTAGCCAACCACTTCTACAGCCACATCCAAAGACTCATGTTGATGTCCTCCCAAGGCATTCCCAGCATGGTGACTAGTGCCTGCTGCTCCAGAAATAGTTGGCTGCTCAAGCAAAGATTGTCTGCAATTAGGACAAGATGAGTGTGAGAGGAGCCATGTATCTATGCACCTCACATGAAATCCATGGTTACATTTTGGCAACACTCTTACTTTCTCCCCATCCACGAACTCCCCTAGGCAAATTGGACAATCTGTGGCAGCAATTCCAACACTACCTGAACCATAAACAACTATAGGGATCTGATGCAACACACTCTTCTTTAGGCCTTTTGCCACCAAACGTGCTGCAGTTTCCTCTGGGGTCTCAAAAGCAAACCTTCGGCTACACCTTAGAGCACATCGCACAATTGAGTTCAGTCCCAAAGCACATATAAGTGCACAAAGCAACGCGGCCAAGATAATCACCATGTTGGTGTCAAAATTTGCCTCACCAGTGAAAGTCTCTCTTGTCCTATTCATGTTAGCTGGTGCAGGTGAGGTTGAATTTGTGTCAAGCAAAAAGCGGTGATGAAGAGCCATTATGTGTCAACCACTTCAAAAACGCCAACAATTGTAATAGGTGAACTACTGAACTAAGAATTCTTGTACCCTTTTGATACCAGCTGAAGAATCTACCAACTCAGAATTCTTGTACACCCTTTTGCTATCAGCTGAAGAATCTATATCTGCTGCTTGGAGAAATGAGCTTGGAAAATTTGAAGCAAAAGCTGTAGTACCATAAAGAGGTTTGAAGCATCTCTGGCTTGTCAAAACCTTGATTTTGGTCGATGTAACACTAGTTCTTGCACTGGAGTGTTGAGGACAGGAGAATTTTGATGATTGTCAGAGAAGTGTACTGAAGCAAGCAAGAAAGGTTTTGAATAATATATCTTCTTATCAAGAAGAAATAGAGAAGGACTTTAAACTTTTGAGTTATGGCAATATCTGTCAGGAATCCCACTAGATAAAGGCTCTCAAAGAAGCATCTCTTTGGTAATAAGGAAAAAGGGTGGTGAATACTGAATACTGAATACTTAATAGTATCTGAGACTTTGGAGGATGAAAATTGAAAAGCAACTCAATCTATGACACTCTCAAGACACTAATGGCATGTCCATTGAAATTCACATAGAGCAAAAGCCATGATGCAAGGCATGACTATGTAGGCCGAGGAAGATTTTGATTGGTCTTACCGGGGTTGTGAATTGTGATGTTTGCCTCCAACAGGAGTGGTTGGAGTTTTTCTTCATACTATTGAGAGCAAAAGCATATATAAAGAAGAAAAAAGTAAGAGACTGAAAATTTGTGACAGAAAAAGAAGGTATGGTTGATTGTTTGTGTATGATGTGTGGATATTATGGGAAGTGGTTTTGTCTTGTAGTGTTTAGGAGTTGCAGAAGCAACTGGGACAGAGATATTATGTAAGGAAATGAAAGCAAGACAGGGTGTTTGTTGTCCCCTTGCATTTGCATTTATTATAGCATGCAGTGAGGATGGTTGATTTTAATTTTAGAATCAGGAAAAGGCTGTTGAGAATTTTGATTATGGTACCTGATCCATCTTATTCAAAATTAGCATATTTATTCCAAGCACCAAATCCTTCTCCCACTCAAACATTTCTTTTAAGTTTAACCTATCTCTTCCCTTCGTTTCTTGTGTTTTCTCATCCAACGGCTATAGTTAGATTGAGATTTCAGATTTACAACTACTGCTAATCATGGCACCTCTGATTATCATTGTTACAGTGTATCACCCATGTAGGGTAAGCAAAATAAAGTAAAGATCATTCAAAATATGAAATGTGTTACATTATATATTTCTAAATTTAACATATATTACCAAAAATAGTTAGATTAAGCAGTTTGACAATTTTATTTTTTAATTAGGGACTAAAATATAAAAATCGTAATTGAAGTACCATTTTACTCGGTTATACTTCTTTATTAAATTAAAAAGATTAACATATATTTGTTATGAGAAAATTATTTATTACATTTCATATTTTAACTGAAAAATTTATAATACAATCATTAAAAACAAAGTTTAAGTAATTTTTTACCCGCTAGTGTGTAGGAATTTGAGAAAATCTTAATTTTGTATATTGTTTACCCTATTGTACAATTAAAATAATAGTTATTTTCACTTTTCCCATAATAAAGTTCTTAAATAAGTTCTATCTTACGCATCTAGTATATAATTAAGAAAATAAGAATAAATTATTTATTAAAAATAGTTCAAATGTTTAAAATAAAAATATGGAACATTTATTTTTAAGTATTCAATAATATGTATTTAATATTCATTTACGTACAAAACACACAGAATAACAAATATATTATTTAGTATAATTAGATTTAACCTAAATATCAGACAAACATTTTTGTCTTTCAAGTTATTGAATTATTGCTGATATTTAATATTATATATGTAGTTCAAATTATATTTTCTTTTAATCTCACGTAATTAATTTTATAATGTGATACACAAACGTGATTTTTAATTTGAACAATATACGTACAATTTGGTTTCACGCTTTATTTGACTAGTTTGAGTTGTTTTACATATAGAGGAGAGATACACTATAATTCATTATATAATGAATTGTAAATGAGATATTTAATATTCAAAATTATTTTTTATTTTTTATTTAATATTTTATTCAAAGAAAAATAAAATATTACAAACACCGAAAATTAATCTAATTTAAACTGCTTTACATTAAGTTAAATTTTAGTTTTAAGTCGAATCGATTGAATAATAAATTTTAAAAAAAAATTAAAATGATTGAATCAAATAATTTTTCACTTCAAAATTATTTGAATTAAATTCGTGAAAGTCTACTAATGAAGTATTATGTAATATATTATCAAATAATAAACTCAAATCTACATCGCAATATATATATATAAAAAAATTATATGGTTGATTAAACTTGTTTTTGATAAAACAAAGACCACCAAAAACATGCTTTCGATATTAATAAGTCATTAGTTAGTCTAAATAATATTAGATTTAATTTTTTAAGATTTGAATATTATATATGAAAAAACATAATTAAAAGAAAAAATCTTGCTAAAAATGATTAAATGAATTTTTTAATAAGGATTAATCATCAATTGATAAATACTTTATATAAATAATATTTTATCAAGTTGGTGTATTCTAGTTAAAAAATTAACTTTCTAATTAGTTTAATAATAGTCCAAAAATTCTAAAGACGTATCAGTTTGGCTTGCTATTTGTATTAGATAAAATTTTGATTAATTTTATATTTTTATCACAAAAATTCATATTAAATAACAATATATAAACCTTTTAAAAATTATATTATTTTTAAAAAAAATTATGCAATATATTCTAAATGGGGTCACTAAATATTGAAAATTTCTAATCTGAAAATTTCTTGACTAAAATAGGACGAGCTTAGAGTTTTATAACATTTGTCAACTTGTGTTTATGTGTAAATAGCAATTACAACACAGTACGCCATTAATTTATAGAAGTGTTTGATATTTCTGAGTATAGTTTTCTTTGGCATAATGAGATGCGTTAGTCCCAAAGGCAAGTTTGATGAGCAAAACAAAACAAATGTTACAAGATTAGGTGATAGTGAAAGAGGCCAACACATAGAAACTCCTTTGTCGTGTTTAATAAAAAGTAATTAAATAGATAATCACCATCTTTATGACATTGAGGAGCATGTCTAGGACAAATCTACAATGAAGTTTTAGTAGTTAGGTATTCATTCGAAGGGCACATGGGAGAGGTGTTGTGGCTCATATTTCTACGTCATGGGCCACAAGGCCCACTCCATGCAAAGGAAAAGGTTCACAATCGGATTCCTGATTATTCTCAGAGGTTGCCACATCTCCCTTCCATCATTGACTTTTCTCCATCAATGCCACCAATATATTCTCAAGCCTACTTTACTAAATTGTTAACTTCTCACGCCAAATTTTTGTGATTAATAATTTTCTATTGTTTTATATTAATATAATGGTCATGTAGTGATCCTATTGATTTAGTTGCATAATTGATCATCACCAGTGAAAAGGGGCATTGATATTTTAGATGGGAAGAATGTGAAAAGACAAGCGATAATTAGCCTAGTGTGGTCACTATCTAGGTGATGGATAAAGGTTGTGACTTGTGAGAGCCTACATGGTAAATATAGAAGGAATGGTTCAAGGCTTTAAGCCCATAATTGCCACCTGCAGTTACCCATTATGGTTGGGATGTGTTATTGTTAGAACTTGAAAGACACTTCTTTTACCCAACAAAAATCTCCTTCCCCATAATTTTTTCTTTCCAGCATAAACATTACGGAATGAGTAGATTCTCTTCTAATAAAACTTTCTCTGTATATATAATCGGATAATTAAATTTCTGTAAATATGTTTAAGAAAACCTATCATCTACTAAGAGTGTTGAAATTTTGTGTATTTTATCTATTGTTTGAACTTTAGAAAATCTTTCCCTTTTAGAGATACTGATTTTAAACATGTAATATGATGTGTAACAATTTAATGATATATTCAATATATTTGTATGTGTTAAAAAAATAATATAACAAAAATATACCACAATAAGAATGTTATTATTAAATTTAGTTACATCTTCTAAAATACCTCTTTATATATAATAGATTAAATTATATTTTTAGTTCGTTTTTATTGTTAAGATTCAATTTGATTTTATTATTTTTAAATTATTCAATTAAGTTCTTTAATGTTTAGAAAATATTCAATGTTATTCTTTTGTTAAGAATAAAAATAAATCACACCAGACTAAGTTTTAAATATATAATTGAATCTGTTCTATAAAATTAAAAGTTTTTATAGGTTTGGCATAGTCTATTAACATATTTAAAATGTTATTATTAAATTTAGTTACATATTCTAAAATGCCTCTTTGTATATAATAGATTAAATTATATTTTTATTTCATTTTTATTGTTAAGATTCAATTTGATTTCATTATTTTTAAATTATTCAATTAAGTCTTCTAATGTTTAAAAAATGTTCAATATTGTTCTTTTGATAAGAATGAAAATAGGTCAACAAATTTATATTAATGATATTAATTAGATCAATAAACTTAATTTTTAAAAAGTCAATAAATTTATTTTTAGATATGTTATTAAGAGTTATTTTTTAATTTACGTGATAAAATATAATTTATTTAATATTATTAAAATTTAAATTTTGAAATATAATTGTTAGAGAGACAATTTATGCACAATCATTTATGTTGGCTTACATTCATGTATAGGTCGTAAGTCTATAAATCTATAATGAGAAAGGATAATCCTATAAAAAACTCCTATATCTAATTTGATATATTCTAAATAATCGACTCATATTTTAACAAATTAAAATAGTTATGATAATAATTTATTAATTAAAAAATACTTATTATACATGAGATGATTTGAGGAGTATCGGGTACATATATAATGTCACAAAGACGAAATAGATAAAATTATTTTCTGTTAAAAGGACAATTCATGTATATTTATCTACATTGACGTACACTTGTATTATGATGAAAGAGAGTAATCTTATTCAAATAATATATGCATATTAATTTTTTTATTATATTATATAGATAAATAAGGTAATCTATCAAGACTAACAATTTTTTTTTTGTAAGTCTAAGTCTAGCATTTTTAAATAAATAGACTTTTTTAAAAGTGTAAACCTGACATTTTTATTAAACAGGTCAGGTCATGTCAGACTTCAAAGTGGTCAGGTCACATGTTCCTGTTTAAGGCCTAACCTATTTTTATCCCTACCTTCTGTCTAAATTGACACTTATAACGATAATAGAATAGAAGGATTACATTAAATTTTTTAAAAAATTAGATGCTCAAATTGAACCATTTAAAAATAATGAAACTAGATTGAACATTCAAAAATTATAAGAATCAAATTGAATAATAATTTATCTAACACATTTTTTGTCCAGAAAAAATTTAATTTAATTTTACCTATTTAATATTTTTGTTTACCTATTTTGTTAATTATTATTCACTTTGATTACTATATATTTAAAATATTTAATTTGATCTCACTAATTTTAAAATGTTCAAATTGATCCTCTAATTTTTAAAAAATGTTAAATGTTGTCCTTTAGTCAAATTTTATTAGCGTTGTTAGTGTCAATTTAGACAAAAGGACATCTTTGAACAATTTTTAAAGATTAAAGGACCAAATTAAAAACAAATTAACATAATGAGACTAAATTAAAATTTTAAAATAAATAGAGAGACTAAAAAATAAATTTAACCTATATAATATATTTTTTGTTTGAAACGTAACATATCGTCATACCAATTTATAACATAGATATCAAATGACATCAATCAAGTGAAACATACCAATGTTCAACAACTTATTCAATAATAGCATTCAAATGTTTATTCAATAATAGCATTCAAATGCTTATTCAATACTCTAACCATGCAATTTATAACATATCAATCATATATAGCATATCAATGTTCCTCACCATATCAATCATATAACATATATTATATATCAATCATATATAACATATCAATCATATAACACCTAGACCCAGAACGGCCCGTTCTGAAATCGGAACGGGCCGTTCTGGTTGCACTTTTGGTGTGTTAATTTTGCATCCGGAACGGCCCGTTCCAGGTGCAAAATTAACACAACAAAAGTGCAACCAGAACGGGCCGTTCTGGTTTCAGAACGGGTCGTTCTGGTTCCAGGTATTTTAAAAAAA